ATGAGTACTGATAATTGTGAATTTAAGGCCAGCAAAGGTTGGTTTGAGAGATTTAAGAAGCATAGTGGTATACACAGTTTGATAAGGCATGACTCAAGAAATCGTAATGACACGATTGCAAACAAACCATACCCCCGGCCGGGATTGAACCCGCGGTCATAGAGTCTCAAAACTCCAGCCCGTCGGGTTAATACTGGACCAGCTAGCCACAATAAGATTCATCCAACTAGGTATATTTCTACACCATAGGAAGGTTAGCACAGGCACCACTGTGACCACAAATGCAAGTTTTTACAGACGAATCTCCAGCTAGCGTGGCTGTGATGAACTCTAGCTCAAGTCCCTTCACTGCTGTCAACATGACTGAGTCATGTTGACGGCAGTGAAGGGACTTGAGCTAGAGTTCGTCACGGCCACGCTAGCTGGAGATTCGTCTGTAAAAACTTGCATTTGTGGTCACAGTGGTGCCTGTGCTAACCTTCCTATGGTGTAGAAATATACCTAGTTGGATGAATCTTATTGTGGCTAGCTGGTCTAGTGGCTAACGTGACGGGCTGGAGTTTTGAGACTCTATGACCGTGGGTTCAATCCCGGCCGGGGGTATGGTGTGATAAGGCATGGTGAAATGTGGGGTAGGATGGAAAGATTTATGGATAAACATCACCCTGAGATGGATGTTGCAAGCCATATCGGCAACTTGTACAGTGACAGAGTCTTGGCCCATTTCAGGGAAGTTTTAAAGAGATACCAGAAACAGAGCTCTCTGGACACTTTTTTTTGAGAGACAGGACTCCAGTGACACTCAAGCTGGTCCTAGTGGCATTAAGAAACAGAGAAGAGAAGTAACTCCAGAAAAGGACTTGGTACCTGAGGCGTTGATGGAAGGGGATTCCCCTTCCAAACAGTAATTAATCCAATCTCTCTCCTCTGTCAGTCTTCCGTACACTAAGAAGAATCGCCAATAAAGGTAAGTGTTATGCTCTTAATGTTTCATTCATCATGTCCCATTGTATTGTTTATGTACTACATCTATATTTCATGTAAAAAAAATTTTTGTTTTAATACTTCTGGATGTCAGGAACAGCTTACTGTAATTGTATTTACATTATTTCTTATGGGGAAAATTGATTCGAAAATCATTTTTTTCGATAATCGTCGCACTTCCAGGAACGGATTAACAACGGTAAATGAGGGACCACTATAAATAGAATAGAGGAACTCATCTCTGATATACATTATTTAGGTATAAATACTGGTCAGAGGACCCACCGTAAGTCCGAGGCATCAGTAAATGAGTACATCGCTAACTGAGGAGAGGTTGTATAATATATATATTTTTTACTATTTTGGTCTAACAAAATGTACAAGGAATACTTATTACAATTATTTCAGAGTGTGAAACTCCTCAAATCATGGAAATTAATCTCATTTTTGACTATTGAGTTTTCCTGGGTTAAATATACTTAGTGTGATTTGTGAGTGAATTTCACTGTTAGTATTGTGGAAATTATTTAATTTCCAAAGCTATAGTGCCTAATAAGTGTTTAATGTGTTGATTTGGGTCAAAATGTATTTGTATTTTGAATGGAACCAACTGGGTTCCCGCTGCGCCTGCGCAGATGTGCGGGGGGGGGGTGAGGGGTCGAGCGGGGGCACGAGGAGGCGGCAGTGTTTTGAATGTAGTGAGGAAGCTGTGAAACATGGGATCAGGAAATTGGCGTTCACGGCGGCCTAAGGATTAATACAGTGGACCCCCGGTTAACGAACTTTTTTCATTCCAGTAGTATGTTCAGGTGCCAGTACTGACCGAATTTTTTCCCATAAGGAATATTGTGAAGTAGATTAGTCCATTTCAGACCCCCAAACATACACGTACAAACGCACTTACATAAATACACTTACATAATTGGTCGCATTTGGAGGTGATCGTTATGTGGGGGTCCACTGTATAGGCCTCACTTCCTAATAGGAAGTGTCGTAACTGTTCCTGGTGAAGTGTGAGGGAACGTGATTTATGTGACCACCGTAATAAAGTGGTAAAATGAGTTGATAATAGTAGGACTGGGGGTGACGGGTGCACCGCCATGGAATGTGTCCAGGGGAAATTACCCGTGAGCTAATCCTCACTCATCGGTCTCAGATCTTAATGGAGTGACCTCTAATGTGTATAATAATTATGAGACGTTAAATCGTCTTGTGAATGGTAATGTAATCAGTGATAATAACATTAAGTTAAGAGAATGCGGGAAGTGAAATAAATCGCCTTGCTCCGAGTGAATGCGTGGTTCTCGTCCCGAGGATGGCGAAGTTTTATGGAATCACGACTTCTAAACCGGGACAAACCAATGGATACCTCGTCCTGCTGGAATAAGAACCGTGTCGGTGTAGCAGGACATCGAAAAGGGATGGCGAATGGAGGAAATAAGGAGCATCAATCACCCACAGTTAAGTAACCTTTCTAGTTATAGCAGACTGATACTGGCCAGTTAGGTATGTTTTAATTGGATAGGTTATGGGTGATCCAGCCACATTAAGTGACCACCAGAGAATATCTGGTAAGTGGTGGGATTATGTACAAGTGTTAAACTAATATAATCTATACAGTCCACAATTAATTAGTAGCGCTGTACTTGAGGGTGCTATCCAATTTATACTGGTCTCGGATAGATATGGATAAGATTGTGAGGGTCGAGGGGCCACCTGCAGTGACCAGAGGTGGTGAAGTTTTCTCACATGTCTACACGGGGTGACTATGGTAAACAATATAGTTGTTGTCTCCCAAGGAGATTACTCGTATGCATGTAATGTTGAGGTATGTACAAGTAATCACCCCTATAAAATTTTCCATAAGTATCATGAAATTGTAATAAATTTGGAATAAGTCATCTGAAAAAAAGACAGGAAACCTAAGTAACTCTCCACCATTAATGTACAAAAAGGCAGCTCACGTGCCATTACCCTCGATTGCAACTCTGTTTAATTAACAAATCACTAGAATTTTCAACTTTTCCATCGATACTTAACTCTTAAACTGTCTAAGTGTTGATCTACATTTTCACTGCTTGCACTCTGAATATTTTTTTTTTCTAGAAACGAAGAGGACAATTTTCTGTGTGTAATAAGACAAAAAAAAGAAAATTAGTGCCAATACTTACCAAGATATAAGGCAGCGAAGCTGGCAGTGGTTGCCCACCTGACGGCAATGTGGAGTACAGCCGCTTGCAGACATGTTGCCAATATACCTTTTTTTTTTCTCTTTCTCTTTTTTTTTAATTTATATAATTTTCATGTTCTGATAATTACAATTTATAGTAGTTCTTGTGATTTTATAGCCAATTTTTGTTCTGACTTGACCCCCAGACCTCAGTTTGTGAGCCGAGCATGCTGGCAAAAAAGATATGGAACACCATCAACCTAGAAAAAATTATGGCAGGTCACATTTGCTCCTGAGATATCACAAATTATTATGGTCTCTAGGCACCATGAGGGTAATGCTGAAGCTGTGGTAAGAATGAATGAAAGAGTGCTGGTACCTTGGGGTGAAATTTGACTTCAAACTATGAAAACCACAATATAGATCATGCAAAGTGGTTGAGAACCTTACTTAGATATATCTTTCATCTGCTCAGCAGTAGAGGTTGCAAGATTCTGAAAGAGGCATAAGTATATTCACACATTGGGTATGCTCCACTTTCTTGGATTTCCTGCTCCCCTTCACATCTGAGACTTTTTGACAGAATAGAGAACAGAGCAAAATAACTCCTCTGTCTCCTGGACAAGTCTGTCATTTCAGTACAGTCTTCAACACCAGAGAGATGTGGGTGGCCTTACTGTTATGTACAAAGTTAATATTGTCTAAGTACCACACTTGGCTCCACTCCACAGACAGCAGGAAATGAGCTTCTACACAACAAGACAGTCAGCAAGGAGCAATTACATGGTAGCCTTCTCCAGAACAACACTTCATCTGAGATAATTTATTCCTAGGATTACTTGTGTCTAGAATATGTTTGTACAGCATTATGACATCAACAGCATAGTCAGTTGGACAAATAAAATCACTGACCCACAGTTAACTACAACTGTATCCTGTTCCATATGTGTCTAATAACAATAAAAAAGCTTTAAAATGAGTAGATGTAGGTAACAGCTCTTAACTTGTAAATAAAGTTAGGAATCCTTAACCTAACCTTGTAAAACTCTGTCTAAAGTTAATAAAAAAGAGATCTCAAAGCATTATTGTATTAGTTTCTTCTATGTTTGGTCATGTAACCAATACAGCTTACTAAGTCTGGTTTTATGTTATATGTAGTAGTTAATATGAAGTTTTAGCAATATATACCTCCATTATGTTGTATATGGTGGTTAATATGAAGAAGTTCGACAAAATATACCTCCATTATGTTGTATGTGGTGGCTAATATGAAGAAGTTTGACAGTTTATACCTCCAGTGTATGTATGTTGTATATGGTAGTAATGTCATGAAGTCTGACAGTATATACCTCCAGTGTATGTATGTTGTATATGGTAGTAATATCATGAAGTTTGACAGTATATACCTCCAGTGTATGTATGTTGTATATGGTAGTAATGTCAAGAAGTCTGACAGTATATACCTCCAGTGTATGTATGTTGTATATGGTAGTAATGTCAAGAAGTCTGACAGTATATACCTCCAGTGTATGTATGTTGTATAAGGTAGTAATGTCAAGAAGTTTGACAGTATATACCTCCAGTGTATGTATGTTGTATATGGTAGTAATGTCAAGAAGTCTGACAGTATATACCTCCAGTGTATGTATGTTGTATAAGGTAGTAATGTCAAGAAGTTTGACAGTATATACCTCCAGTGTATGTATGTTGTATATGGTAGTAATATCAAGAAGTTTGGCAATTCTTTTAACTTTACAAGATTGTCTATAAAATTCAATATGAACACATAATTCTTTAAATTCAATCCTGTTAATGTAAAATCTAACTTAATATTTATTTTCTACAGGAAAACGACGAACCAGAAGAGTGTAAAGTGTGCTTTAACAATTATGATGAAGACCTTCGACGACCACGCACTCTGCCGTGTGGTCACACATTCTGCTCACAGTGTATTGAAGATACAATTAAGAATGCTCAGCTCACCTGTCCCAGCTGTCGTGCTGAGCACAGTGCCACAGATGCTACTCAGTTCCCGATCAGCTACACTATGGAGGCTGTGATAAAGAAACTCAGAAATATCCAGGTTACATCAGTGGGAACAATGTCAACAAAATGTGGTCAAGACCGCACAAGAGGTATCAGCAAGAAGTTACGGTCTTTGGTACAGGAACACAAGAGCAGTATCAGTAACCTTATAAGTGAGTGTGAAGAAGCACTGTCCCAGCTGGGCAAGTACCAGGGGCAGGTGAGGGACTGGAAGATCCAGCATCACCAACTGCAGGACAGACTCCATGATCTGCTGGAGCAGAACAAGGCAGCAATAGAGCTCCTGGAACAGGAGGATACCAGTGTGCTGACAATGACAACAGAAGGAGAGGCAGGAAAGAAGCAGCTGCAGACCATGCTGGAGAACCTCATCACAGTCAACACTGTACAGGAGGTCGTCACAACCATTGATGAGGCTGATCACTACAGTGTGGAGGCTGAAGATTGGATCCAGAAGTGCCAGGAACTCTTCCCAAATGTCAACACTGTCTACACCTCAGTAAAGGTACGATGCCACAGTCATTATTGAACTTTCTAAACAATTTCTTAATTCATTTTTATATATTGATTCTGTTCTGTAAATATATACAACTTTAAGAGCAAATTTAAAATGTGATTTTCACCAAAATGTTGCCAGATTCTTAAACTATTTTTCTGTCAACAAAACTTCATTTCCATATTTTTCAATTATGTATTTTTGTACTACGCTCATAAAAACTCAAGCTCGTCCCTTAAGTTAGCTATTATTAAATATATTAATCTTTCTTCTTTCATTGCACTGGCCATATCCCACTGAAGGAGGGTGGCCCAAAAAGAAAAACAAAAGTTTCTTTATAAATTTAGTATTGTATACAGGATAAGGGGTCATTAGCTTCTTGCTCCTGACATTTTAGTTACCTATTATGACACGCATGGCTTACAGAGGAAGAATTCTCTTCCACTTCCCCGTGGAAATAACAGGAAATAAACAAGAAAAAGCACTAGTAAGAAAAGAGAAGAAAACCCAAAGGGGTGTGTTTGTGTGCTTGTACATGCATGTGAAGTGTGACCTAAGTGGAAGTAGAATTAGCAAGACATACTTGAAATTATGCATATTTATGTGACAGAAAAAAGACATCAGCAATCATACCATAATGTAAAACAATTACAGGCTTCTGTTTTACACTCATTTGGTAGGACAGTAGTACCTCCCTGAGTGGTTGCTATCTACCAACCTACTACCACAGCATAGTAGTATCTCCCAGGGTGGCTGCTATCTACCAACCTACTACCACAGGATGGTAGTACCTCCCTGGGTGGCAGATGTCTGCCAACTTACTACCACAGGATGGTAGTACCTCCCTGGGTGGCAGATGTCTGCCAACTTACTACCACAGGATGGTAGTACCTCCCTGGGGGGTTGCTGTCTACCAACCTACTACCACAGGATGGTAGTACCTCCCTGGGTGGTTGCTGTCTACAAGCCTACTACCACAGGATGGTAGTACCTCCCTGGGTGGTTGCTGTCTACCAACCTACTACCACAGGATGGTAGTACCTCCCTGGGTGGGTGCTGTCTACAAGCCTATTTACCACAGGATGGTTTAGTACCTCCCTGGGTGGTTGCTGTCTACCAATCTACTACCACATGATGGCAGTACCTCCCTGGGTGGTTGCTGTCTACCAACCTACTCCCACAGGATGGCAGTACCTCCCAGGGTGATTGCTGTCTATAAACCTACTACCACAGGATGGTAGTACCTCCCTGGGTGGGTGCTCTGTACCAACCTACTACCACAGGATGGTAGTACCTCCCTGGGTGGTTGCTGTCTTCAAACCTACTACCACAGGATGGTAGCACCTCCCTGGGTGGTTGCTATCTACCAATCTACTACCATAGGATCACAGTACCTTCCAGGGTGATTGCTGTCAGTAAACCTACTCCCACAGGATGGTAGTACCTCCCAGGGTGGTTGCTGTCTACAAACCTACTACCACAGGATGGTAGTACTTCCCTGGGTGGTTGCTTCAAGAGATATCCAAGGAAGGTTGAAGAATAGGTACAGGTGATGTGCTAGGAAGGGTTGAAGGAAGGTACAAGGGATATCCTAGGAAGGTACAGGGGATATCCTAGGAAGGGTTGAAGGGAGGTACAGGGGATATCCTAGGAAGGGTTGAAGGGAGGTACAGGGGATATATTAGGACAGGTTGAAGTGAGGTACAGGAGATATATTAGGAAGGGTTGAAGGAAGGTACATTGGATATATTAGGAAGGCTGAAGGTAGGTACAGTGGATATGTAAGGAAGGTTGAAGGAAGGTACAGGGGATGTATTAGGAAGGGTTGAAAGTAGTTACAGGGATATATTAGGAAGGTTGAAGGTAGGTACAGGGGATATATTAGGAAGGGTTGAAGGAAGGTACATTGGATATATTAGGAAGGGTTGAAGGAAGGTACATTGGATATATTAGGAAGGCTGAAGGTAGGTACAGTGGATATGTAAGGAAGGTTGAAGGAAGGTACAGGGGATGTATTAGGAAGGGTTGAAAGTAGTTACAGGGATATATTAGGAAGGTTGAAGGTAGGTACAGGGGATATATTAGGAAGGGTTGAAGGGAGGTACAGGGGATATATTAGGAAGGGTTGAAGGGAGGTACAGGGCATATATTAGGAAAGGTTGAAGGAAGGTACAGGGGATATATTAGGAAGGTTGAAGGGAAGTACAGGGGATATATTAGGAAGGGTTGAAGGGAGGGAGTGAGTGATATTTTAAGACATAAGTCTTAAGTAATCAACAGTTGTGAAAGTGTCAGAGTAGAGACAAGTTGTTGCTGACATCCAGCATTAATGTTTGTGTTGGTAATGACAGGTACAGGAGACCATTAAGAAGGCCCTGGACACCATCACCACAGAGACAGGTGCCACAGCTGCCACTGTTCTCCAGGGAGACTCAACCACCACCATCATGGAGAAAGTTAAGATAATTACTGGTGAAATCCCTCCAGCGACATTAACTGTAAGTTGAAAGTCTTTGTTTCTTTTTCATGTTATACAATATTAATCATGATAACATGATCATGAAGATTTTCATTTTTAAAATTACTTACTTTCTTATAATACTAATAATATGGTAACAAACCTGCTTCCTAACTTATTGATACCCAACTTTTCATAATATTTTGACTGAAGGGTTTTTCTAAAATTCCTTATAGTTGTCATAGTCACAAAAATAGACATTGTATTAACTAAACCAACTGAACCTCCTCTCCAACTCTCTGAAACAGTAAGTAAACTGAATGACTTCTTCTCCACCATAGTAATAAATATAGCCAAAAAGTTCTGAGCTCTCAAGCCCAGTTTAGTGATTACCTAACTGATAACTATCACACTTCCCTCTACCTATTCCAAACTAATTCTACATACATTACTTCTATAATAAAGTCACTAACAAAACCCAAAGCTAAGTTAGTTTATGACTACTGATATATAAGAAAGTTGTTCATGTGTTACCCAACTATTGAACAGCAGGGCACCACTCATACAGCAGGTTATGTTTAAGGCTTTCGTCAGAAAGCAGGCATTGCCAGTAAGCCATTTTTTCTGCTTATAAATGCATACAAATACCAGACAAGTTTACGATAACATATACAGCTTCTCCTCACTTAACAACGGAGTTCTGGTCCTAAGACAACATTGGTAAACAAATTCATCACTAAGTGAGGAGCATACTATAATGGTAGTGGGTTTGAGTCAACCATTTATAGCATTTCTGGTATATTTTTGAAAGTTTATACAGCAGTGTACTGTATATTGTAATAAACAAAATAGAGGAAATCAGCTCTAATATACATTATTTAGGTATGCACACAGGTCAGAGAGACCATCATAAGTCCGAGTCATCGGTAAACGAGTATGTCACTAAGTAAGGAGAAGCTGTATTATGCTAACAGTAGAACTAGGCATTAAAAACAATAAAAAGTAAAATACATGCACAGTATATTCATTACTTAAAAATATTTGTAGTTTTAATGAAGGGTGAAGAGTGAGTAATATATATTTGTAGAAAGTCAGGTGTAGGCAGACCTGGCTCCCACTCCCAAATGTAATACATAATATTTAAACTCTTAACTGTCCATATGTAGATCTACTTTTTTACTGCTGGTGCTACAAATGTAGATCAACATTTTATCTTTCCTACCTCCAAATTTGCCTCAAATGACCTGAGATGCCTGTTAACCCCTTCAGGGTCCAAGGCCAAAATTTGAAGTGGTGCTCCAGTGTCCAAGCAATTTTGAAAAAAAAAAAAATATTTTTTCTTACAGAATTAAAGAGCATATTTTTTGTGAAGGTAATAAGACAAAAAAAAAATTTCTGATCAGTACTTACTGAGATACAGTGCCGAGAAGTTTGTCCAAAATGACGTAGTGGCGGCAACATCGACGAATTCCACATACACGCATTACTTTATTTAGCAGTTTTTGTAGTTTTTTCTTTTCTTTTCCAATTTTTTTCTTTTCCTACTAACATTTGGGGCCTGAGAGACCAATACTGTATATAATGTATATATATAAACTCAATGTATTGAACACAATAACCGCACTAAAGTTATTATTATATTATTGTTTACCACTGTTATTTATTACAATAAACATGCACAAATCTTGTATAATACTAATGTTCTATCATATATTTACATATTTACAATCACTAGACATGGTTTTAGAACTGCTGGAGCTTGTGGAACTCCTTGAAACAAGGCACCATGCACACAGGCACCTTACATTCCTCACACATAAACCGAGTGTCTTTGCGTCTTTGTTGTCATTGTTTTGTTTGTGCACAGACGATGCATCTCTTCTGAGCAAATTTCTTCTGAGTTGAAGGAAGCTGTATTATGAAATGTTTACCTTCCCTCCTCAAACGCTTGGGTATATCCTGAGGAATTCGAGGACCTTGTTGTATAGCAGGTGTTCTTACCTGGTACTTCATTATGAGTTGTCTGACAACAGACAAACAAAATTCACCATACGGTGGTCTGTTGCCAGTCTTTATTTGGTACATATTATATGCATTGAGCATTGAAATGTCCATGAGATAGAAGAAAAGTTTCATATACCACTTGTAACTCTTACGAACACAATCAACAAAACCAATCTGCATGTCACATTTGTCAACCAAGCGCATGTTTTGTGTATAATCAATCACTGTCACTGGTTTTTGAATACGTTCATTAGTCACTCGATCAACTTTGCCACTGTCTTGCATTTCATTGCGGTGAATGGTTGTCAACAATGTGACATCTCATTTGTCATGCCACCGTAATGCCATGATGTCATTGGCAGTAAACACCTGCATGTCATCACCACGAGCACCTGCGTTGAGCCTGGGCATATGTTTACGATTAGAATGCACTGTGCCACACACATCTGTCTTGTTCACTCGCATGAAATCACTGAGTAATGGGCTTGTGTACCAGTTATTGGTATATAATGTATGCCCCTTACCAAGATAAGGTGCCATCATGTTTCTCACTATGTCACCTGAGATACCCAATAACATCTTGGTATCTTTCAATGTTTTACTTCCCATGTATACAACAATATCCAACACCAGGCCACTGTCACAATCACAGAGTACAAGCAGTTTTATACCAAAGCATTTCCTCTTGCTCGGTATATACTGCTTGAATGACAGTCTACCTTTGAACAAAATCAATGACTCGTCAGTTACAAGATTCTTGAATGGATAAAAGTATATGCTGAACTTTTGTTTGAGATACATAAAAACATTTCTAATCTTGTATAACCTGTCACTTCTGTCAGGCCTGGTTTTGTCAGAGAAGTGCAACATACGTAACAGTAATATAAACCTGTTCACTGGGATGATTTCACTGAAGACCGGGGTAGAAATTAGCCGATATGTGGACCAGTATGCTTTTATATTATGCTTATAGACATGAGGCATAAGCATTATTGTTGCAAAAAGCAAATACATTTCTGCAACAGTCATCTCTTTCCACCGGTGTAGTCCTGACTGTTATGATATGATCGTATTTGCCATGGTGTACTCAAAATACTTATTACTTTCCCTGACAATAGTTTCCATCAATTGCTGGTCAAAGAATAATTCAAAGAATTCCAGTTCATTGGCCGTGGTTCCAAGGGGACAAGTAGGTAGAATTCCACTTTGAGAGTCATCAAAGTGGTGGGGCTTGGGAACAAAATTGGGATTTTACTGCCAATCCCAGATACGGTTTGCTGGTGGATACTGGACATCATAGGTTGGTTGTGCAGGTGGTTGTGGTTGTGGTGGGCTGGTGGCTGACGCTCCACTTTGTCCTTGAACTGAGGAGTCAGCAGCATGGGTCCCAGCCTGGGCTGGTGAGTCACGTATGGCGGTGCCACTACCATCACCACTGCCACCATCTACTGATGCCTGTGGTCTATCCATGCCAAGTGTAGCCACATCATCCTCACTATCACTATCTAAACCTGGTGCAGGGCCACGGGATGTACTCCGTCCCCTTGGCACAGCATAGGGTACACTACCCGAGCGCATGCGGCAGCGTACATACCGATGCTTCACTAGTGAATATGATTCCTCACTATCACTACTCGAATGATCGTCAAGCGCAATAAAATCACAATCCACGTCACTATCATCATCATTACTGAAGTCAGAGGCCTGGCCATGCGAAAATATTAGTTTTCTCTTGCGTTGAGGCACAACCGACCATGAGTCACGAGTGCCCACACCAGAGCTAGAAGGTTGAGGATCGTCAGGGTTTTCTGCACTATTATCGATATCCTGGTCATTCCTTTCGGTCACTAACTGATCAAAGCCATAGAATTCGTCTTTATTTCCACTTCCATCAGTGTCAGAACTATCAGATAGGAAGAGGAGAGTCCCAATTTTCCGTGGAGTGAGAGCTGACTTGCAACGAGGCATGGTGAACAAGGGTAACTGAGCCGGCGTTCCCACAATGCTGTGCGGGTGCCTAGATTTTTTGTTTATGGTGCACTCCCACCACACAGACCCGTTCTCTCACATGTAGGCCTATGAGCGCTTTCGCGCTAAATTTGACGGCGCTAGAATTTTGGCATAGATCTACGGTTTGGACACTCAACGTGAAGCCGTAGATCTACGGGACAGACCCTGAAAGGGTTAAGCATAGAATGAGTCTGAACACCCGGTATGAGCAGTATTAAAAAATCTGGGACTACTTAGTACCTTGTGGGAGCACCAAATCAATTGAGAACCAGATAGAACAAAAAATATTGCAAACACCAGGGATTCAGTGATGTCATGTCATATTAGCACTTCCCTATAAAGAGCAGTTGACCCTTAGTTTAGTGGCTTTGAGATAGATATTTCCACAAGTGGTCAAGGAGATATCAAAAACCTCAATAATAACCCATGTGCAACATTTGTGCAACATCCTTTCATTTTTGATACCACTAGTAGTGTCATCCTGCAAGAATATCCTATAGCCTATGCCCTATGTAAAGAGAAATAATTGTGGAATGTGTAATACATGTTCAGCAGGTTGGCTGGCCGGGTAGATGGGTGGCTGATTGACTTTGGTTATCTCTGTTCCTTCTGTCTGTATCTATTGCTGTCTGTATCTATCTCCATTTGTATATATCTCTGTCTATCTCTGTTTGTATATATCTCTGTCTCTCCCTGTATCTCACAGGTACACATAAGTACAGTTATCATACATAGTATAAATTACATAGGATAACCCCAAAAAATCCAGACAAAGTGTGATACTGTGCTTGTAGATATAAGACATAATAAGCATGACTGGCAAGTAATACACATTTTTCACTTGATCAGGAACCAGACATGACGACTCTGCATCATTTGTAATACCTCATGGTTCATGAGTGGTGTTCTCTCTGATACAGAGAGACAGACAGAGAGACAGGAAGACACATAGGCAGACAGAAAGACAGATAAGCAGACAGATAGACATGTTACATGTTTAATGTATAACAGTGAAAAGAAATAAAT